AGAAGAAATGTTTGACATACATTTTCCCATGGTAAAGATGATAGGAGAACCTGGTGAGCTGAGGAGTCACCCCGCAGGAGGCTCTCTTGGCATCGGGAAGGGCCTGCCCTGGGAACAGCTGGGTGCCCTGCCTCTTCTCAAGGGCAGCCCCTGGAGATCCCTTTCTCTTGTGAACCTCGGTGGTCCCGCCTGTACGAAGACTAGACCAAGCGTTCTCACTGCCCCGAATCCCACAAGTGCAAGGGGGCACAGCGTGCCCCAGCTCCTGGCTTTCCCTTTAAGAACAGGCAACAGGGTGTATTGCATGTTCTATACCAACGCTGGTTTCAATCTCGGCTGCACGTCAGAAACCCGGAGGGCATCGGAAAAACACTGTGAGGCTGGGGAAGGGGGACAGGACTGCCAAGGTCCCCGGGGCTGGTGATGTCACTGAGAACCTGGTCACAGTTCCTCCACTCCCTTTCCCTGGAGAGAGATGTGCTTCACACACTCACATACACACACACACACACACACACACACACGCACACACACGCACACACACACACCATCCTCTCACAAATGTACATATTCCCAAAGGACACAGATACCTTCGGGCCCCAGCTACCCCCCCGCCCCCACCTAGCCTCACACTCAAATGCACACACAGAATTAAATACAAGAACACAAGCAACCATATTCTCTCTCCAACTCAAGCAAATGACCTCTTCCAAACACACACCCAACAGGCTAACACACACCCAACACACCCAGGCTTATACACACACACTACATCCCATCTCGCTGTCCCATACAGATTCATGCACACATTTGCTCGGGTAACACACTGTCCCACAAACACATCCCCTCACATAAAATCACAGACAATGCACAGTCTGGGCACAATACAGTGCAACAATCACAAACTCACAGTCACAGCAACTTGTATCACAGACAAGCTCACACACAGCACACTCGCCATCAGAAGCAGGCATATTTACAGTCAAATACAAATCTGCATACATTCATGATTTCCAATCACATGCAAACACATGAGCTTGCAGTCCACAATTACAATCACACAACTAACACCAGCATGGACCACACATCCCTTCGTACCCACACAACACAATCACCCACCAGAGACACAATCACAAACATAAGTGTTTACAACCACACATTCAACAGACTCTGCCTGACCTTACCATCCCCCACGCGTTCACACAGCCAAGCTCATCCTGGCGCAGGTGGGATAAAGCCTGGGCCCCAGAGAGACAGCCCCCATTCCTTTCTCTGCCCCAGGAATGCTGGTCTTGGGGCTCCTGTTGGCTACTCCCAGCTGCCTTGGTCACCATGACGACCTGGCCAAGTGCTTCCAGGACCCTGAGTACGAGTCCATCGTTGTCACAGCCCAGGAGGGCCTCCACGCCGCCCCACTGCCCCGGCGCGTGGTGGTGGTGGGAGCTGGCATGTCCGGCCTGGTGGCAGCCAAGGCCCTGCAGGACGCTGGCCACCAGGTGAGCCGGCTTCGGAGGGGCCTCAGCCCATTGCCCCCACCCCCCACCTAGCCTCACACTCAAATGCAAGGGGTTTGCTTGCTTGGGTGGGAAAAGATCAAGAAAACAATTGCACGTAACCCACTGGATGTCTTAGCCCTTGGTCATTGTTTCTCAAAACTCCCCTGAGAGTTGGCCTTAACTGCAACCTGTGTTCTCCTGGAAACAAAAGTAGGGAAGGGGTTTGCTAACAGGTAAAGACCAAGAGGCACGCTGTCCCTTGCCACGCGGAACTCTTCTGCCTCACTCACATACTGAGGATCCTCCCGGAAGGCTCCCTATCCCCACGGTTTGGTTATCCTGCACATTCGGGGACCTAGCGCTGGGGATCCAGATTAGAGCCTGTGACTGGGTGACTGGGTGGGGGGAGTACAGGGTGGAGAAGGGAGAGCCTCGCCCTGGAATGACAGCAGCTTCTCGGGACCCCAGGTTTCCATCTTGGAAGCCAGCAACCACGTCGGGGGTCGCGTGGTCACAATCAGGAACAAGGAGGAGGGCTGGTACCACGAACTGGGGCCCATGCGAATCCCAAAGTCCCACAGGTAAGTCCTGAGAAAGGGTTGGAGGGAGCACAGGAAGGGGTGATTAGGAGGAGGTAGTGTGGGTCCTGCTGCCATTGAGTTAGAGCCCGTTCAGATTCACTGTCCCGTCAGATCGGATCCTGCAAGTCGGGACTAACACTGGTCTCCCACTTGACAGAAACCAGTCCATAACCTCAGAGCCCAGGGTCACAGAGAAAGTGGAAGATCCTAAACTAATAATGATAATAATGATCATTAACTCATCAAATTGTATACTTTAAATATAGGCAGCTTCTTACATGTCAGTTACACCGCAGTGAGCTATCAAATGATAACAGCTGACATTTGTGGAATGCTTACTATGTGCATTATTTCATTATTGCAATTTGATACTCTTATGTTTCCCACTTACAAATCAAGAAACTGGGCTCAGGGATATTAAGTGACTCACCCAAGACTCTCCCAGGAGAAAATGACAACGCTCCTCAAAAGCAGGGGCATGCCTGGCACAAAAGAAGATGCTTGACTTCAAAACCCTAATCCTAACCCTAAAACTGTACCCAGCCCCTGGAAAAGAACCTGGCCCCTGGTCCTGAGGCTTCCAAGATAAAAAGACCCCTCAGCTGGTGTCCCCTATACCTCTAAAAACATATTACTTTTTAAAATATATTTTTATTGATCTTAGAAAGAAAGGAAGGGATAGAGAGATGGAAACACTGATCAGCTGCCTCCTGCACCCCCTACTGGGGATCAAGCCCCAAACCCCCGGCACATGCTCTGCCTGACTGGAAATCAAAACATGAGACTGGGGAAAATATGACTTCTTTTTAAAATATAAACGGAACCTGAGATTTCCCTCAAAACACCACCAAAAACTAAAACAAAACCCAAGTGAATTAGCCCAAACTAGAAGTCTTTAGATACGGCCTCGAGCTTACCTAGGAATGGAAGGTGGAATTTCAAATACTGTCTGAAACAACAGGCCTCTGGTTCTATATTTGAATCCTATACACTGATATTTCCTAAAGGGCCTTCATTCTGTGGTGGGTGAACTCCCTACTCCCCACCTCCCTCAGGGCAAAAACAGAAGGAAATGAACTAATGCCACAGCAAGAAGACACAGGGGTAGAGATGAGGAAGGAGTTAGTCTGAGTTCCCTGGGCACATAAAGAAACTAGTTTTCCCGGATGGCTCCTATTTTTTTGGGGAGGGGGGCATGCTGATGTCTGTACTTTCTCCAGGCTGGTTCACACCTATGTCAAGAAGCTGGGCCTGAGGCTGAACACGTTCATCCATTACAATGACAACGCCTGGTACCTCATCAATGGACAACGCTACCGCATGAGAGAGGTCAAGGCCAACCCAGAGATCCTGGGCTACTCCATGAACCCCATGGAGAAGGGCAAGAATGCTGAGAATCTCTCCCACCAGTCCACTGCCAGCGTGCCTCCTGCCTCACCCCTCCCAGGGGTGGGAAAGAGCAGGGTCTGGCCTGAAGTCACCACGCAAGTGAGTGGATGGACCCAGTCACCTGGCTCTTATCCAATACACGCCTGATGGGTCTGCCTTCCCTCTAACACTCCCTAAGAATGCTACCACCCAACCCTGGTACCCAACCCCATATCCTCTGCCCCTGGGTGGCCCATGGAATTGCTTCATCAGTGGCAATGGAAGGAAAGGGAACCCGTGGTATTGAATCAATCCTGCCAGGTCGCAGTGAATGTCTTCACCTTAAACTTTAGTGTCCACACAACTTTAAACGAAGGGGAGACTTTAGGAGAAAGAGAAGCATTTAGGAGCTCCCGGAAATGTCTTCCTTTGGTCCTTCCCTCCCCCATCTTTTTGTCTCCTCCCTCTTCAAAGGGACATCCCGAGAGCCCAGGAATACTGCTTCTCGACAATTAGCTTTAACTAAAGCTGCTTCCCCTTCCTGCCCTTCTGCAGATCAATCAAAGTCTGAAAAATTTCAACTGCAGCCACCTGATATCCTCTTCTAACTCCACCCAGGTGAGTGAGGCAAAGGTAGAGAAGGAGGGATGGGTGCACAGCGTAGCTGCCGGAGGTTGTCCCCTGCCTACCAGGACCTCTCTTCCCACTGCCACGCCTTTGCCTCCCTGGAGTGCAGGCCCACCCCTGGCCTGACCTGGGCCCTGCTAAAGCCCCTTCCTATACACTGGGCCCTCCATCTGGCATTTCTACCTCCCCACAGGCTTACCTGGTGAAAGAAGGGATGCTGAACCCGGGAGCAGCCAGGATGATCAGGGATATGATGAATGAGGATGTTGAATTCAAGTCATTCCTAGAGTCCGGGAAATCTGACATCATCTTCTCCAAAAGTGATGAGTAAGACTGATCTAAGTGAGAACTCAAATCTGTCCCCTCCTCCAATCAGAGCAGAGAAAGGGAACTTGGATTATTGAGCAGTTACTATGTGCCAGGCACTGCCCTAAGCACTTCCCAAGTATTATGGCATTTAACCTTATGATCACCTAGAAGGCTTCTGTGGCCCAGCGATATTATGAAACAGCCAAGTTGACACAACTGGGCCAAGGGCTAGAGCCTGGATCCAAACCCAGGTCTGTGGGATTCCTCCTGGGATGCAGAATTGCATGGTGGCTGACCCCAGGGCCTGTCATCGTGGGAAACACCCTTTTCTCTGGGTGTCAGTGTTCCGAACTAGAAAATTCAAGGCTAATCCTTCCCTCGCAGAGACTGGTTAAGATGACGTATAAAGTGTGTGTATGAAGCTAGCTTCTTCCCCTTTCAGACCAGGATCCCTGCTGGAGACGGGGCGACCTGGCCTCCCGCCTCCCACCCCCACCCTCCGCTCTCTTCACCTCCACAGCTTTACCGAGATCACAGGTGGCTTCGACCAGCTCCCGGAAGCCCTGAGTGCCAGCTTGAAGCCTGGCACCATCCATCTGGGCTCCAGGGTGGAGCTGGTAGTGAGGGATGGGCCTGAGGTCCACGTTTCCTACCGGGTGGGCAAGTCCAACTCTGCACTGCACAACCTCACAGCGGATTTTGTCATCATCTCCGCCTCCGCCAGCGCCACCAGCCTCATCACCTTTAGGCCACCACTCCCGCTAGACAAGGTGGACGCGCTGCGCTCGGTGCATTACGTCAGCGCCACCAAGGTGGTCCTGGCCTGTGAGGAGCCCTTCTGGGAGCGGGATGGCATCCACGGCGGGGTCTCCATCACCGACGGGCCCTCGCGCTACATCTACTACCCCAGCCACAGCCTTCCCAGCGGCAAGGGTGTCCTGCTGGCGTCCTACACGCTGGGCGACGATTCCCTCTTCTTCGCGTCCATGAAGCACGACCAGGTGGTGGATACCGTCCTGGAGGACCTGGCGGCGGTGCACCAGGTGCCCAAGGAGGCGCTGCGGCACCTGTGCCCCTCCTCTGTGCTCAAGCACTGGTCTCTGGATCCCCTCCTCGGGGGCGCCTTCGCTGTGTTCACTCCCTACCAAGCTAAGGACTATGTGCCGCGGCTCTCCCAGCCGTCGGGCCGCATCCACTTTGCTGGCGAGCACACCTGCCTGCCCCCTGGCTGGATCGACACTGCCATCCAGTCCGGCCTCCGGGTAGCCAGGAGCATCCAGGCTGCTGTGGACCAGGAGGCCAGAGGGGGCAGGCCTTCGCCAACACCCAGAACAGTTTCTGACGTGGAAAGAAGTCGGGGGGAAGAGGCTCAGGAGACAGATCATCATTAGTCTGCCTGGCCCTCAATCAGCCCCTAAAATGGCAGCTAATGAGCCCAGCTGGAGAGCCCGCAAGAAAATCATTCCTTTTTCTTTCTTTCTTTTTTTTAAAAAAAATATATTTTATTGATTTTTTTTTACAGAGAGGAAGGGAGAGGGATAGAGAGTTAGAAACATCGATGAGAGAGAAACATCGATCAGCTGCCTCCCGCATACCCCCTACTGGGGATGTGCCCGCAACCAAGGTACATGCCCTTGACCGGAATCGAACCTGAGACCCTTCAGTCCGCAGGCTGACGCTCTATCCACTGAGCCAAACCGGTTAGGGCCATTCCTTTTCTCTGTGTCTCTCCCCTGCCTGCCCTTGAGGAGAAACAGCAGAGTCAGGGTGCAGTAGACCCCCTCATGAGACGGGGTAAAAGCAAGACCCTCCAAGTGGATGCCTGAAACCACAGATGGTACCAAAGCCTCTCTGTGCTATGTCTTTTCCTATATATACATACTATAAGTTTAATCTATAAACAGGGCAGTAAGAGATTAACAAAAATAACTAAAAATAAAATAGAACAATTATGACAATGTACTGTAAAAAGTGATGTGAGTGTGGTCTCTCTCCATTCATATCTTCCACCCACACATGTAATGCCTTTTCCATCTCACCCAAGCACTCACCACACACTGTGCCCAAACCGTTACAGTTTGAGGTGTGACAGCAAAGCTAGAACAATTTTATTTTTCCTTCTACACAATGTTATGTTCTTACCATAGATCTCAGCATATGACTTTTTGTCTGTCTTTATTAAGTCAAGAACTTTCACCTTTTCACTTAAAGGGAGCACTTTATGCCTTCTTGTTGGCATATTTGAATTGGCAGCATTGCTTTGGGGGCTATTATTAAGTAAAATGAGGCTTACTTGAACACAGGCACTGTGATACCATGACAGTCGATCTGATAATCCAGGTGGCTACTAAGTGATTAAAGGGCAGGTAGGGTATACAAGGTGGATACACCGAACAAAGGGATGATTCAGGGCTCAGATGGGACAGAGCAGGATGGAGCAAGATTTCATCACGCTACTCTGAATGGCACCCAATTGAAAAACTTATGGATTGTGTGTTTCCGGAAGTTCCCATTTAATATTTTTTTATCGTGGTCGACCACAGGTAACCGGAACCGTGGAAAGTGAAACCCTGAATAAGGGGGAAGGAGGAGAGACTACTATATATGAAGGGACAAGGAAACAATCAAGGTTGGAGAATGCTAGAATCAGCCCTTTGCAAGGAAAAAATTATTTCCTTCTGTGTAATAGAAACAAGCAAATGAGAAAGGATTCACACACTCTACTTTCTGTCATCTACAACTAGAAGCTCCTAAAGGGACAAATCCAAACCATAGCCACAGGAAACCACATCATGGCCACACATACTCACAGCGCACACAAATCTTTGCATGCCTGAGCCAGGGACCTCACATCTTGGCCCAACATGGGATCTAGGTGGCGAGATTGAGTTCTTTTCTACTCTTTTTGAGCCTGCCAGAGCAGAACCTTGATTTCCCAAGGATGCTCTTGGCCCATGGACTTTCCCTTCACCTCCCCATCACCAATCAGAACCCTCCTCCCCACCTCTGCTTGTGCAGTCCACACATCCCCCTGGGAGGATTCAAGCTCATCCTACATGCTCCCTCCCCACTCGGCTCCTCTCTAAAACCTGTCCGTCCTTCCAGGCCCAACCTAAGCTACTCCCCCTCCCCAAGTCCTCCCTTACCAGCCACATCCAAATCCCAGGGATTTCTCTCTTTGAACCCTGACCCTTCCTCCCTAGAGTTCCAAACATTTGGACTGCGGATCTTGTGCTGTTATATAATTCCTTCCTGATGGTGCATTATCTGTCCAACTACACTAAGAGCCCCCAAGAGCTAGAATCATATTTGTGTGCCTTTTTGCATTTTCCCTAAGTGTATTTGATTCCCTATAATTTGTCAGTTAATTTTTATTATGCATTTATGATGTGTCAGGCATGAGCCTTATTATCCAATTGAATCAAAACTCCACTCTGACCTATGTCTAAAACAAACAAACAAACAAACAAGACAGCCCAGCCATCGTGGCTCGTTGGTTGAACGTCGACCTAGGAACCCAGGAGGTCATGGTTGAATTCCCTGTCAGGACACATGCCCCGGTTGCAGGCTCAATCCCTAGTAGGGGGAGTACAGGAGGCAGTTGATGATTCTCTCTCCTCATTGATGCTTCTATCTCTCTCTCCCTCTCCCTTCCTCTCTGAAATCAATAAAAATATATATTTTAAAAAATGTGTATGGCAAGTAGACTGCACTACTTTCCAGACACATTTCTGAGCCTTTTACACATATACATACATGCAGATGTCTCACCATAACCCTATGATGTAGGTACTGTTTGCCCCTCATCTTACTGGTCACGAAAATGAAGTACGGAGAGGTTATCTTCCCAATGCCACATAGTATGAACATAGGGGAGTTATAATTAATCACACAAAATCCAATTCAAGTTGGATATTATAGACCTAAATGTGAAAGTTTTTTAAAAATAAAACTATTAGAGCTTTCTGATGGCGATGTCAGAAAATCCAGACCTTTCTCCTTCCACCTAAAAACACAACAGATTGACTGGGTATAGTGATGTGGGAGCTCTAGAAACCAGTCGAGGGGCTGCAACAACCAAGCAAATGCCCAACTGAGAAAAAGCAGATCTATGCCCTGGCCGGGTGGCTGGGTTGTTTAGAGCATCATCCCGACACCAGGATGGTTTCTGGTTCAATTTCCCTGCAGAGCACACACCCAGGTTGCAGGTTTGATTCTCAGTCAGGGCGTCCCATGAGGCAGCTGATTAATCTCTCTCTCTCTCTCTCTCTCACCAATAAAGCATATCCTTGGGTGATGATTTTTATAAAAAAAGAAAAACTAAAAGCAGTAGGTAGTTTCATGGTGTTTTTGCTCACCCTAGCGGACCCGTTCCCAAGCCCAGTACAATTAGGAGGAAGTCACCCAATTCTTAGTTTCTTCTCTGGAAAAGAATGGAATTTGTTTGCAATGTGTAGGCATGACTGGGAGCTGCCCAAGGGACTGATTTCTGTTCCATCTGACTCAGACAAGAACAGTGGCGTCGTTTGGAGGCTGCTGTGAGCAGTGGCACATGCCATGGCATCTGAAAACTGCAGAGGAACTACAGACCCAGGGGTGCTTGGAGGCAAGAGATGATAGGCAAAGGGATACAACAGAATATCTAAGGCCCTGAGAAGAAACAGAGGCGAGACCCTTAGGGAAATTAAGACATTTAAAAGCAGCTGGGTATACACATGAAAAGCCCACAGCTAACATCATACTCAATGACATATTTAAAGCTTTTCCTTTAAGATCAGGGACAAGACAATGCCCCTTCACCACTCTATTCAACATAGAACTGGAAGTCCTAGCCCGACAATCAGGCACAAAAAATAAATAAAGGCATCCAAATTGAGAAGAAAGAAGTTAATTATCTCTGTTCACAGACAACATGATCTTATATGTGGAAAAATCCTAAAGATTCCGCAAAACAATGGTTAGAAGTAATAAATAAATTCAGAAAAATTGCAAGATACAAAAATCAGTTGTCTTTCTATACACTTAATAATGAACCATTCAAAAAGGAAATTAAGAAAAAATCCATTTACAATAATATCGATATATATATTTAGGAATAAACTTAACCATGTGCTAAAAGACTTGTACACTAAAGACTACAAGATATTATTGAAAGAAATTTTAAAAAGATCCCAATTCATGAAAAGGCATCCCATGTCCATGGATTAAAAGACATAATATTGTTAAAATTTTGTCAATACTATTGTCAATACTAAAGCAGTCTACAGAGTTGGTATAATACCTATCAAACTCCTAATAATCTCTTTTGCAAAAATAGAAAAATTTATACCAAATTTAGATAGAATTTGAAGGGATCCTGAATAGTGAGAACAATAATAATTTTTTTAAAAAGTCAAAGCTCTTATAATTCCTGATCTTAAAACTTCCTACAAAACTACAGTAATCAAAGCAGTATGGTAGAAGCATAAGAATAGGCATATATTCCAATAGAATAGAATAGCCCAGAAATAAACCCCATACATATATAGTCAAATGATTTTCAACAAGAGTACCAAGGCCATTCAGTGGGAAAAGTCTTTCAATGAATGATGTTGGAGATTTCAACACAATTCTCTCAGAAACTGATTCAAAAAGCAGATTGAAAAATTCAGAAAGTATATGAAAGATTTAAAAAGGACAATAACAAAAATGAGGCATACATAGACATTGCCTCCCAAAACTGCAGAATACACATAATTTCCAAGCATCCAAGGAGGATTTGCAAAAACCAACCAATACCAATACAAAACCATAAAGCAAGTCCCAAATTTCAAAGGGTTGAAATCACATGGAGTATTTTCTCTTACCACAATACATTTAATCCACAAATCAATGTTTTAAAATATAACTAGAACAAATTAAATGGAGCAATATCCTGTATTCATACATAGGAAGACTCAATATTGTCAACATGTCGATTCTTCCAAACTTGATCTGTCGATTCAAGGCAATCCCAATAAAAATCCCAGGAAGTTATTTTGTGGATATCAACAAACTAATACTAAAGTTTATACGGAGCAGCAAAAGACCCAGAATAGTCACCACAATATTGAAAAAAAACCCACAAAGTTTGAAGACTGACACTACCCAACTTTAAGACTTACTATAAAACACAGGAATCAAGACAGTGTGGTATTGGTGAGAGAATAGACAAATAGATCAATAGAACATAGTAGAGAACCCCAAAATAGTCCCACGTAAATATAGTCAACTGATCTTTGACAAAGGAACAAAGGCAATGCCATTGCACTGCAAAGATAGTCTTTGCAACAAATGGTGCTGAAAAAAAAAACCCTGCACGTCCCCACATTAAAAAAAATTTAGACACAGACCTTACTCCCTTTAAAAAAAA